AAAACAGAAACCAAATAAAATGGGTCACCACCATAAGAAAGTCCCAGCAAAGCATACCTATTAAATCACTATGTCAAAGTCATCCTGAACAAGTCTTTCTTCTGCCAGCCTTTTCATTTACGTCTTGCAAGTGGCCTTGTAACAAATGTGGAGGCAGAATTCTCTGCAAGTGCATTTTGTCATGCTGTTTTCTTTAGGCCAAATCCCATTGGTTCACAGTGTGCTCATGCATCAACTACAATTTCACCCCTTATGTATTGCATGCAAGCAACCCCCGCAGATGGGACCTCCGGAGGTAGAGCGCTTACAGTTTGGTCATGAATCACCAGGGCCACTGTGTCACAGATCACCTGCAATGGGTTTATTTAACAGGTCTGGCCACAGATGAATGTTAAACTTCTTCAAAATTTCTTTAATCCATGTAAATTCAATTATTCAGCCTACAAAGACACACCGATGACTTTCTCACTACAACAGCAGAAAGCAGTCGGCGTATTGATTTGTTAATTAAAGAGAAAATTCAGTTACCTGTGTACTAAATCATTGATGTATGTTAATAGCATGAGTGCATCTGTTGGGCTGAGAAAAGGAAGATCCACCATATTATACTATTGTATTATCTCTAGACATCAATGGCTTTTTATAAAGTCTCTGAATGCTCTGTTATTGATTGAGCGAGAGACACAATTGTGACTGAAGAATGCTGTGCGCTGTGCTTGTTTGTTCGTCGCAGGGAACATTGAAGATTGCTTTGCTATTTTGCTCAAACTGCATTTGGGCGGTCCTGACACTTAAACCAAGCTGTGTACATCGGCAAAGCTGCGCCTTGACATATTGCAAGTCTTTTCACTGTAGAAATCAATAGTTTTATTGAAAGTTCACTCCTCTTAGGCTTATTTTCTGGTGCCTATTGATCTGCAGGTGAATCAACTCATAACAAACAGCTAAATGCTTTTAGGTCTCACACTGGCTGTGCCCGTTCTGAAAATTATACACATGTGTGACGTCATGTTGGCAAAGTTGCTTGGAAGTCTGTGGTAAGCAAATTACATTCTTCTACATTTACTTTATATTTATGCATTTGACAGACACTTTTATCTAATATGATAGGTATAGTGCTGGGATTTTTAACTGTTATTTTTTTATTTATTTATTTTTTAAATATGTTCAATGCTAGCCTGGCTAACGCCAGACAACGTATCATTGAGAATGAGACGTAGTCTGGAAACCACACGTTAATTTTCTCATATTTGAGGCATGGTTTGCGAATGCCCAGAGCCGTATTATTGGGTGCTACGAATATCTATCAAATGCGCCTGTACGGAGCTCTTAGCCAATCGGGTCAATGAGATGACGTATAGAGCGACAGAAAATTAGACAATTAAGACGACGATGGGTCAGAGATTGAGGAGATTTATGTATACACAAAAAGTGTTTTTCAATGTCAAGGATACTTCCTTGGCAGGACGGGTCCTTCCTAGTCATTTCCTTCAGAGGCTAGACGAGGCTCCTCTTTAGCATTCGGAGAACACGTAAATGGAACAGGCTAGCAAGTGCACGTCATTGCGTCATTACATCAGTGAAAGGTCCGCTTTCGGAGCTGCAAAAATGGTAGTGCTACTGGTTTGGTTGCTACACCGCACTGTTTAAACACACTTGATAGTCCTTATTTTGTCTTGTCAGCCCTCATAGAAATAAATAAATAAAACTAAGGGATAATGTATAGCAAGACGGTTGTGAATACAAGTCTTCACTATATACAATATAGTGAATACAACCCCGCGAACTCTAACACAAAGTGGAGGGGTCTTGAATCAGCATGAAGGGGTTGTATTCGCTGTAACAACCGCCTCGATATACATTTTCCCATTTATAACATGGCTATCTACCAAATAAATCAATAATTTGACACAAAATATTGAATTGAAAAGGAGTTTGTTCATTTAAAAACGATTATTTTACCTGAGTGAACAACTGCGTCAATAGCAACACGATCTAGCTGTTAAAACACATGAAATGGTAAAATATGTGATCAAGAAAAAAGGATACCGTTATATGAAGTAAAAATGAAAAAATGAATCACCAGTAACAGGGAACAGATTTAAAGCCCTTCTCTGCAAATCAGTTGAGCCGATATGTTTAATGTCAAACAGGCTGTATCAAAAGGTAACTTCGCGTCCGCTGCCATGATGGGTCCATAGATGTAAACAAACTGCTTTGGTGTGTCGCATATGCGTCATCATCGTCTTGCTGCTCCCTCCCCGTTCTGTGATTGGTTCACTATCTCAGGGGAAAATTTGGTTCATGGTGTCTAGGCTGCCTAGCAGCGTGAATAAAATCGTGCTGCGGCAAGGTAGCATGGGGAAACCCAGGCTAGTTCAATGCAGTAATTTGAGTACATTTATGCTTTGGAACAATATTTACTGTGCATAAGCACTTTACATATACATTTGAATTGAACTGAAATTGTTTCTCTTGTTGTTTATACATCAAACATTAAAGGTACGGTAGACAGTTTCGGAGAGGCTAGCTTTGAATGCAGAAAGGAATCTGCAGCAGTCAGGTGGTACAAGTAAGACCTCTGCAAGTTGATTACGTTCATTATTATTATATTGGTATGTGCTTTGAGACATGAGGTAATTTAACGCCATCTCTAATGACACTTTGCACACCCTGCTGTGTGGGTTCATGTCGTTTGGAAAAGGCATGTAGCAATAAATCAAGCTAGACACAACAGCCTTTTAAACGTCTACAAACACCCGTCTACAAAGTCCCAGTAAAGTGCTTAAAAAGTGGATGAGGCAACCAATATCCTTTAAAAAGATCTCTGCAATATATTGGGTAAATATAATAATGTTTAGCAAAATTAAATATTCAAAACCTACTCACACTGTATGTGCTGGTTTCAGCTTCATTGGCATGGGGTAATTTCCATAAGATCATCAATGCAAATCAATACAGCTATTCGTCTAACTGAAATAAAATCATGCCAATCTCTAAGGCTCAATCCCAATTCACCCCTTGGCCCTACCCCTTGTTTTCGAGTGTAACCCTTGGCCCTTAAAACGGAGTTACAAGGGCCAAGGGGTTGAAATATTCCCCTACGAAATGGAACAACCCTTCATGAACCCGATACGTCATCAGTCGTCGGCAATGGCTCTGCCGTTACAGAGTTTTTGCAGGATTTCTCCATGACAACAACTGATAATCAGCACAGCTGCTCTTAACTTTGAATAAACATGATGATTATAACATCCCTTCCTCGAAATGTATGTCTTTTCTGATCGGAAAGGTAATTTATTATACCATTTCTTAATTTAAACGACTATAGTGTTATTATACGAGTAAATAAAGTGCGTGATGGAATCATCTAGCGCTAAATTTAAATGTTTAACCATTTGCGAACCATCTCGCTGGTGATTTCCGATGCATTCCGTGAACTTTCTCTTAGCCCTCCGTTTGGAGTGTGCCTCTAAAAAATCTCCGTTTCGAGGGCTATGAAGCCCTACCCCTTCGCCCTACCCCTCGATCTCAACAAGAATCGGGACAACCTACCCCTAGACGTGAACGCACAAAACGGAGGGGTAGGGCTAAGGGGAAGGGCCAAGGGGTGAATTGGGATTGAGCCTAAGTATGGTGAAGGGAACTATATGATGATGTGCGGCTATTTTAATTACAAAGGTCAAGGGACTTGATCCATGATCCATGAAATAACTGGCCTTTACAAATAAAAATCTGCCTGCCTCTATGGGAATTGAACATAGGTGTGTGTATATAGAGCACATCTATTGATTGATATCAGGTTGTGAAGAGAGTAAAATCTTCAATCCTGGGCAGAAAAAAGTCAACTTAATACAAAGTAATAAATTGTAAATGAGTTTAAAAGTTTACATTTGGTGCAAACCCATTTTAAAAGAGACCTGGGGACTTTCTTCTTAGACCTTCACAAGAAATCACCATATGAAATGTACAACTGTGCAATAAATTCATCCTCTCTGAAGGATGAGGCAAACATCTGCTTCAACTCTTGAGGAGCTGGACTCACCAACAACCTAAAGAAATGCCACTTTACACTGCTTGAAAAGTGTTACCTCGTTCTAGATCACCCAGGAACTGATAAGGCCTTCCAAAGCAGACACTATAGAAGCTGTGCAGTTTTATAGTTCGTGGCCTGTGAGTATGAAAAAAATGTATGCAGTCACCCTTAAAATAATAATAATAATATTTCAACCAGTTCTAACATGCTCCAAGCTTTAATCTACACTTCACTTTCCAGGTTCAAGCTAAGCTGGATTCTATGAAGATGCAATTCAATGTCCGACACCAGCATTTTACGTGTCTTTGACATCACTTTAAACATTTCTTTAAACATGAACAGACAGTCTTCCCTATGTGTAACACGTCTTTGAATTAATTTTGCAGCTTTTCAAATGCCAGTGCACACTAATAACTATTGTCATGTTTAGATCTTGTTAGTGCTTCGAAATGTCACTACATTTATGGGGATTTGATGGATGAATTAAACAAATTAATATTTTAAATGCAGTTCTGGCATTAAAAGTTGCTCAGTTGGCTGCTTTATTTTACATAGAACAGGTCTAAAATGTTAATATGAAGAGTTCAGATGCAAAAGCCTCTAAGTGCCATTTGAAATTTTCTTCTAAAATGATAATTTTTATCAATCTTGTATATGTAAGTTCAGTAATTTCACTTAAATGGCAATGAAGATTACCTATTAATTGTCATTTAAGTGAAATTACTGAACTTAAATATACAAGCTTGATAAAAATGGTCATTTTAGAAGAAAATGGCAAATGGCATTTAGAGGCTTTTGCATCTGAACTCTTCATATATTTAAGTGTGGCTGACTGAGCATTTCTATAATGCCACAGAAATTTTTTTTTTGGTTAGACATGTTTGGTCAAATGTCGGTAAAGCCTCTGCAATAAGTTACATCACATCCTCTTGACACATTTCCTCATGTATACGTGAGTCGAGGTTTGTCCCGTGCTAATGTGCATCTGTGGCTGAGCTCATTCACTCTGAAGTCACAGTGTGAAGTCTTCATATTTTTTTTCCTGTGGCAAATGCGGTGAATTGGTGAATCGGAACCTTTAGCGTAAGTTATTTATTTAGTTATTCATATTTATACTTTGGATTTAAGATATCAGTCTTAAGAGAACTTACAATAGCAAATTCACTAAACAGTTTTGCCGCTTGTGTAAATACTTTTATTTTCCCACAAACCACCCACAATGCTGGTAACTATAATAACTAAATGTGCTGAAATGCTGTACCACATTAAATTAAATTATACTTTCTTAACAAAATTTGGGAGGAGCACATTCAGTTAATAGACACGAGTGGAGTGCACCTTGCAATCAATGATGAGTTGTATATATAGATTCTGCAATCTCACCCCAATCCATTTGCGCTTTCCCAAAGGGGTTCGATTGAAGTAATCAAGTATGTTACTCTAAAAATACATAGATTGGATGACTTGGTAGTCACTTTAGATAAAAGCAACTGTTAAGAGAATAAATGTAAGTTGTGTCATGCAAATTGCATTCCAACTTGTTTCTTGGCATATTTGTGCCATTACCTGATTTTCTGTATACTATTCCTCATGTGAAGTGGGAGCTAAAACTCTGGAATTCATTATTAGTGAATTCCCCCTACAGGATTTTGAAATACTTGTTCTGTAAATGTTTATTCCCCATGCATAATGCTGCAAAATCTATTTATACTACAGATGAAACTGTTACATAAATGCTTGTCAGTAGGAAAACATACATTTATTTGTTTTGTGAATATGCTTCAAAACCATGTAAATAACAGAATACCATTCCGTCATAGCCAAAATATGGAGAACCACTTCGATGTAAGTGCCCTCAACAACCAGAGCGTCCCATCAGCTCTGGGAAATGCTTGCGGAATCGACTTCAGTCAAGACGGCATCTTCCTTCCCATCCTGTATGGAATCTTCTTCATCATTGGCATCCCTTTGAACCTGTTGGCGCTTTTTGGGCTCTACAAACTAATCCAATCAGAGAACGTTCTACCCGTGTACGTCATTAACCTGCTAATCGCAGATCTAATTCAACTCCTGAGTTTGCCTTTATGGATAGACTACTATGCCAACGGACACTACTGGCGCTTCGGAACCCGGAGTTGTCAGTTTACGGGTCTGATTTTTTACATTAGCATTTACGCCGGCATCTTCTTCATGTGTATCATCGCTCTAGAGCGTCATCTGGCCATCGCCAGACCTCTCAGCTTCAAGCATTTGCGTAACTTGAGGTTTGCCCCCTGGATAGCACTCGCCATTTGGATACTAATTGCGGTGCCACCTACCATCGCATTTGATAAGCTCTTTCCCAAGCAGGAAAATTACACTCTTTGTATTGAGAAGTATCCCTCAGAGGGCAGTTTCATCACCTACAGGCTGATTACTCTGCTTGTGTCCTTCATCATACCCCTAAGCTTCATTGTTTGTCTCCACAGAGAGACCGTCCGCTCACTGATGGCAATCAACTCGCTTTTATCCGAGGATAAGAGGAGTATCAGGGGTCTGCTCACCCTTCTAGTGGCTGTATTTGTCACGGTGCTGGGGCCCTATCATTTCATCGGCTGTGTGAAGTACGTCGGACTGCTGATACACAGCAATGCGTGCGTTTGGGAGAAGGCTGTGTTTGTGCCATATCAGTTAACACGAGGCTTTCTGAGCCTTAACAGCTTGCTGGATCCTGTGTTTTACATCTTTCTCCGCAGAGACTTCCGTGACACCACTGGGAACTACTTGCCCTGCCTGAGGAGATCGAGGACCAAATCGTGCCGGACAGAGAAACCAACGTGCTCCAGTCAAGACTGTGATTAAATATTTACCCCTGGTTATATACAGTTTTTGAAATACAATTTGGACAAATAACTATATGAAACTATGCCAAACTCATGAGGCCATATAACAGGATCTATGGTGGAGCCATCATTGAACTCTTTTCCCAGCAGTGTTTAAAAAAGAAAAAAAGAAAAAAAGGTACCAGTCACTGGCGGCATTTTTTAGCATTCACAAACATTTAATGGCCCCTACAATATTTTGTTGTGTGAATATCAGAACACACAATGTACTGAAAGAAAGAATAGACAAAAATATATATATATATTCTTAAGCTCAATGTATTCTTTTTTATTAACATGTGGCAGTGGGTAAGTTTAAAAAAAAAAAAAAAAAAAAAAAAAACCTAAGTTTAATCAAAGGCTACATCCAGATCAGATTCAGAACTATGATCAATATATAGACGGAGTAGATCGATCCATCAACTTCTCCAAAGCTTCACAGTCCTTCCTGGGTCGACATTTTATTCGGTAACATTAGGCAGTTTTGATTCATAGGCTGTTAAATGTTGATGATCGCGTTATTTTACAAATGCATTAGCCCACATATACTATCACTTTTTTATTTTTTGCCTGTGTTTTGATCAGGAGATTCCGTACACTTTCAGAAGGTGTGTCATAGCGCCCCCAAAAGTCAGAAAGTCGGAAATTGTTGTCAATGGCTACCCTGGAAATACGATTGAGGGGCCATTTCGATAACTAATGTATTATGTAGCCTATACAGCCTGTTCAGTCTGCCCAGCGCATCCACCGTGTGTGTGTCCATACCTTAGACATACTGACAGTCTCTGTTCAGAATCGATTGGTTCACGGAAATTGGTGGTCTTGTTTTTAAAATGTGGCTCCAGAATCGCGAGCAAGGCGTGGTGGCAACGTTTGCCCACAAAGGTTGTTTTGTAATGTTGCATTATGAAGCAGACATGCCTATATCAGCTCGCACTAAAACTCTCCATTTTTTTTTAATTTATTTATTTTTTATTTCCTTTTTTACTTAGGTGTATATTTTATAGTTAAAGGTGGAATACCTAAGATTTAGATGCCGCTAGAGGGCGCTACATTCAAAACAACAACAATGGCTTTGCTTGATGACGCCGTGGAGGAACGCGGAATGATGGGAACTGTTGTTTTCAACTCCACGGTGGATAAATCAGTCAGACGGGAATCGAAAATTAGTTGTAATGGATGAGGTAAAGTTCGATTTCTATAAATGTTGCGTTTAATGACATGCTTGTTTTTCATTAAACTGAAACAACCGCAAGAAAAGTCAGGTTTAAAAGTAAATTAGTTATCACAGATGTTACTGTACGAGCTCACTGGACGAAGTGACTTATTTTTGTCTCAAATCGTTGCTAATGGATCCTGACTTAATTCGCCCTATGCTGCAATATGCATTAGTTTTGCATTCATTTACAGAAATCAGCTGCTTGAATAACAATAGCTGATGTTATTAGATTTTTCAGGTGAGATTCTCAATTGATTCAGTTAACGGATGATGATCTGGTAAAGTTTTCAGAATGCAGACTCAGCAACGATTGTATTTAATTGTACAGTACAATAACATAGAACAGACGTTATCTTCCATTCATGTCATTAAACATAACAATATTTCTGGCCATACACTGATGAGAAAGTGCGCGTCCGGTGTTACCTGGAGTTGTCCTAGATGTGGCACGGCGCTTCTCGTCCGGTGTGCGACCCCGTTTACAGCCAACAGTTCACATTCCGAGAATAAATGAAAAGAATAATTGTGCTCCATTCCATAACAAATGCGCAAAACAAGCTGACGTTTGTTGCTTGATAGACGCTAACGCACAACTACAACTTCCGCATTTGTTTAGGACTACACGTAGTACGAGCGGAAACCGAGGTATGACGCGATTGACTGGCGACTCCCAGCTCACCCCTGCTCACACGCCCCGTTTCCTTGGTTAAAATCTAAATTTTCTCGTGATTTAAACATTGTTTGAAACATTTGGAATATTGTAAGTTATCATCTTAACTAAATATATAACACTGGCCTTGTGATTTTGGGATATTTTAATGCAAAAATCTTAGGTATTCCACCTTAAAGATTAAAAAAAAAAATATTTGGGAGCATATAAACTAGTTTTAAATCTTTGCCCCGTGAATTCTTTTAAGTAAAACTGCTTCTACTGAAAGCTATAGGCCTCTCTGCAATGAGGTGATGACTTCACTGTTTTTTGTAAATTTTGTAAATTTTTTGGCTTCAATATCTCAGAAAAGATGAATCTTTCCCGTAGCGTAAGCTAGCTTAAGCAATACGAGAGAATCTCTCGTAAGAGAACTAACAAGCTTCACAATAACATATAGACGGATGCAGGTAATTCACACTCACAATCTCTCTTTTATCTTTCTTTTCACAATGTCAATTATTTACAGATCTTTAAAACCTGAGGGTCAACCATGTTGCAAAAGTAAAGTGATCACCAAAAGAATTATTTTCGGTGGAGATTAATGTAAATACAGATATTGAATAGCAGTCGAGTCTGAAGTAAATGTAAACAAGATCGAATCAGTGCAATATAATATACAGTTGTCATTTTTGTGCTAATTAGCATAGCCCCATTAGACCCAGCCGGATGGTCTTTTTCTGCTATGTATGTGTGTCATCACGGTCTTAATGATATTATTTTATTTCAGTTTCTTTGTCTGTCGATCATTTCCATGTCTGTACTGTTGGAACTGAATTAATGGCTCTATTCATTATAGACACTGGTTAATTTGTGTGGTTAATCATTTTGTATTGTGAGAAAAAATTATATTTTAAGCAAACAAGTTTCCCCCCAGCAGCTGAATAAGTATTTCCTGTTTATATTTTCTGTGTCAAAACATTATTTTTTATTTTATTTTAATAACCACCCAACTGGCACAATAATTTTTGCAAGCAACTTACACAAAGATTATTATTTAATTTTATTGCTGAAGAGTTGGGACTGTGTCCAGTGGTGCCATCAGGGCAGTTAGCACTTTCATGACATCATTTTCTTTTGATTTGAATCCTTTCTCAAAGTAAAATAATAATTGCACCATCGTGACTCATGTTCACAGGTAGCTGAGGTTTGACCGGAAAAATAAGTTCCCACATGAGTTCATGATCAGTATCCGGAAGCTATTCCTGTGTGAAATGGCAACAAGTCACTTTCCAGAAATGTCTTTTTGAGAAAAATCAAGTTGGCAGAATTTAGATCTCCAAGTGCAGTATGTCTCTCTGTGAGATTTTTCTGCCAGAATTAATTATTCCACCAACTGCCATCAACTGCAAAAGCAAGACAGAGACGTGGCTTGCCAAGGGTCGCAGCTTGCTTTGAGACCATTAGAGAAGAAAATATCTTCTTTTCTTTTAGTGCGATGAACCTGAGGGGAAAAAAAAAAAAAAAACACTATGAAGAATTGTTTTTGGCTGCAGATTCCCACAAATGCAATAACTCTAGAGGAAGGCATTGACCACACTTTATATTATATTGTGATATTGTTTTGTGTCTTTACTGTGTCTGAGTTGAAACGTTTATTGTATATGTCTATTTTATATTGTATATTCTGTGTAATGTTTTCTATGTCTGCGCTGTTATCAAGGTTTTAGCAGCAAACACAATTTAGTGGATTTTTATTTTATTTTATTTTTTTATTTTGCATTACCTGTATGTGATATATACTGTGGATGCTTCCAGAGAAAATATATTTGCCCTTCCAACAAGAACCACACATAGCTTTAAAGAAATATTATGACCATCTGGTTCATTTCATCTTTATTCCCGTCATGAAAGCTTTTATCCAAGTTCCTCTGCAATACAGGAACTTTTGAGACATTCTGTGTTATAGCATTGGTTGATTCCCTCACAGTCTCCTCAAAAATCTGAAAACCTTTGAAAAAGCATTGCATTTCAAAGCAACAATATATGTTCACGCCAGCTGTGTTGTTAATGTGCTGCTTCTTTGACTATATCTTCAAAAGTTGTCAAAGTTTTTCTTCAACTGAAATCTGTATTTGATCATATTTTATGGAACAGTGTAGGCAGACCAACTATAACATATGACTACCCACATGCTATTCTCTCTGGAAAAGGACCAAAAAATATGTAGCAGTATTACACAGATCAAATCTTATAGCTTTCTTTGTGCTTTATATGATCAGAGAACTAAAAGAATACATTGAATAAATGCCTTAATGTATTATTTGAACTGTTTCAAAATCATGAGACGTCAGAGTTTTACTATAAACTTTCTGACTCTTTATACTTCTGTACTTCACTGTGCTGTAGAAGAAATAAATCGCATATTGCAAAGAAAAAAAATCTTCCTGTTTATGGTTAATCATCATAATAAAAATATTTTCTTGTGTTTATTGATTAATGTTTTTTAATCTATATCTATAACATATCTTTATCTAGTTAACCTTTGTTCTGAAGACATGAAAAACAAAATGTTTCCAATAACTGCTGAAACAAGCTGTTAACCACATGTTTTACATTATATGTTCTCTGTTCACTAAACTATTACATTTTAAGTTCACTATTAAAGTAATCCATGTGACTGGTTTAGCGTCAATTTTCAATCTATCTATATATATTCTATCAATTTTCCAATGAGCCTAGTTTGCATCTCGAATTTTGGTTGTGCTTTAGTGTAGTGTATCAAGCTCTATATTATTGATTTTGGTAGGTATGTAGTAGATTGTTTCTGGGAGAAATGGCATCATTTTGATTTTAGATTAGCATTTGTCTGTTCCTTTAACCTGCCCTGTCACTCACTGGATAACACAGACCTAATTTGTCAATGGGCTCATTGTACAAGCCCTTAGTAATGACGTGAGTGGGCATGATGGGTCTGTGTGGGCCCAGCATCAGAGCTTATTGATCCCCACATCTGAAATGCTCCTCAGATATGTATCACTTCAGGTGGTCTCTTATCAGTGACTTGCAGGCCCATGCACGACATTAATGGAAAATACAAGTCAAAACTTTAAAAAGACTAGAGAGACCCAAATACTTCAGTGAACGTGCAGCTGCTGGCGGATAATCAAGTCACCTTCGAATTCACCTTTGTATATATATATATATATATATATATATTCATTGTAGCATTAAAAGTTTAGCCTTGCATAAAAGTAAAAAAAATATATAATTAATAAAACAGTATTTTAAAAAGAGTTGACTGATCTTTTCTTATTAACTTTTTATTTCATTTCATAACAGACAAAGCGATAAGCTATTCTTTCACACTAAAGCTAACATATTAATTATGAATTATGCCCCTTTTACAAATCTGTGGCCTTCCTTCAAGTACAACTCCTACTTCTCCAATCTATTGAAAGGAGAAAGCCTCAAATCTTTGAATGTCAATGTTTTAAATGGTGTTTAAATAATATCTAAACATCTAATTTTTCCACACAATTGACATTTTCCAATAAAAGTGCTAGATTTTGGAAAGGTATTATGTTAAGTTGCATCCACATTTACTTTTATTTTTTTTTTCATTTTTATGCTAATTTCAAAATATGTTATTGCAATATTGCATTGGTAATAATTAAATTCTCAGTGATTTAATATAACACATACAATCCACCTAAAAAAAAAACTGAACGGTCAGGAGTCATTACAAACAAATGTTTTGCAAAAGGCAAAAGCTTTCGAATGTAGTGAAAATGTCTTCCGATAACTAGTAGCCTGTTAATATTAGGCGATACTGTAATATTAATAATTATTTTATTTATCACTGGGTGTAGCTCAAACATTAGCGCATTGGTGCTTGCAACACCAAGGTCTTGGGTTCTATTCCCAGGGACAGCAAGGACTGATGTGAATGTTAATGTGTACCTTGAAATGCAATGAAAGTTGCTTTGGGAAAAAGTGTCCGCCAAATGCATAAATTTAAACCCGATGTGTATTGTTACAATGCTGGTGGTATAGGCTAAATGAAAAAGGTTTACTTATTCCTCGTTTAACATGTACAAGGGATCTAGCGAGCCCGTTCTCATCCCAAAGCGCCATATAGGACGCTTTTTCAAAAGCGTAAATATCCAACGCACA